AGAGGAGGGAGAAGAAAGGGAGGAGAGGGGGAAGAGGAGTTAAGGAAGGAGATAAGGGGGAGGAGGAGAGGAAGGGGAGAAGGAGGAGAGGTAGGTTAGAAGGGGGAGGAGGGGGAGTGGGCAGCAGGGAGGGCTGGAGGGTCAGGCAGCAGGTAGCGACCGATGACTCATCCGTCGAAAGCCACCTGCATTATCACTCCCAGATACAACTAACTTTTTTCTTCTTCTTCCTCTTCACGTACACCTTTCATAACCTCAGTTAGGGATAAGAATTACTTTGATCGCCTTTCCGACGTTCACACTTGGAATAAATCTCGTCCCATTCTCACGCATTTATATAACCGAAGAGAGAAAAGCTTGCACAACGTGGATTGATAACACACTTCCGCTGCGTGTTATTCATCTTTAACTCTTCTTTCGCTTGATTTTCCTGCCCCCACCCCCCCTGTGTTGGAATACCATCACCCTTGTGATTTCTGAAGCAAAATGCATAGTGTCCAGGCGAGATAATTTCGAACATTCAGGTCTATACTACTGTAAACTCTGAAGCAAGATAGAGGTTTTATAATGGATACTTTCCGAGATTCAGATATACGAGTACACGCTTGGTAATTATGAAGCAATATACGTGCTTTTGAAGATATTTTTCTCAACATTTTAATCCCTAAACCTTTTCGACTGGAAGTGCGTCTTGTAAAAGATACTGCCGTTTTCTTATGAACCACAACCGAAATTAGAAAACCAAAATCATCCAGTTAATGTGGGAAAACCGACAAACTTCGCCGTTTTCACAAAGGAAGGCGAGTGAAAGGAAATGTTTTACGTACGTCATGACTGGGACGTGCATAGGCCTATCTCAGGGGACTGAAAGAACATGAATCTCGCCGGGTACTTACGGGGGTTGAAGACGGCGAAGTTGGCTCGGGTCGCCGCGGAGACCACGTACTTGCGACCCGCCGTGACCCGCGCCTCCTGCACGGGCGGGGCCGACGCCTCCACGGTCACCAGCTGAGGAGGAGGGGTCACCTCCCTCGGGGGCGTGGGCTCCCTCGGAGTTGGGGTGGGCACTTTGGGCGGCGGGGTGGGCTCCCTGGGAGGCGGGGTGGGCTCCCTGGGCGTTGGAGTGGGCACCTTGGGGGGTGGGGTGGGCTCCCTGGGTGGTGGGGTGGGCTCCCGAGGGGGCGGTGTGGGCTCCCTGGGCGTGGGCGTAGGCACCTTGGGCGGTGGGGTAGGTTCCCTGGGTGGAGGGGTGGGTTCCCTCGGAGGCGGGGTGGGTTCCCTTGGAGGAGGTGTGGGTTCCCTTGGAGGTGTGGGTTCCCTGGGCGTCGGGGTAGGCACCTTGGGTGGAGGGGTGGGCTCCCTGGGTGGAGGAGTGGGTTCCTTGGGTGGCGGAGTGGGTTCCCTCGGGGTTGGGGTGGGCACCTTGGGCGGGGGAGTGGGTTCACGCGGAGGGGTGGGCTCCCTGCGAACTGGGCTAGGATCCCTCCTGGCGAAGGGGTCGGGGCTGGGCTCCCTCCTGGCGAAGGGGTCGGGGCTGGGGTCCTTGGGGACGGCGAAGGGGTCGGCCTCCTTCAGGCCGAACAGGTCCGTCTCGCCCTTGGCGAGGGGGTCCAGGGGCGCCTCCTTGCCCAGGGGCGCCTCCTTGCTCAGGGGCTCGGGGCTGGGCTCGCGCTTGGGCGCCGGGGCAAAGCTTACGGGGGCCACAAGGGGCTCGGCCAGCGCCTCTACCGCGGGAGGCTGGGAGCTGAAGGGGTCGAAAGAGGCCAGGGCCTCACTGTGGGGTTCCTCGGCGCCCTTGCCCTCGGAGGCCAGGAATTTGGAGGCCTCCGCCGCCAGGACGTCGTCGGCGCCGCTGAGCACGGGGGACACGGGCTTGGCCTCCGTCTGCGTCGGCGGCGGGAGGTCGTCCAGGATGGAGGCGACGGCAGGTGGCGGGGCTGACGACGACCCTGTGTCAGCGGCGGCTGATGGCGCCTCGGACTCGGCTTTACCCGAGAGCGGGTCGGCTGACAGGGAGAAGGCGGCGAAGGCGTCGCTGGGCGCGGTTCCCTTGGCGAAGGCGTCGCTGGCCGTCGCCTCCAGCCTGAAGGGGTCGCTGGCGAAGGGCGGCGCGGCCGACGAGAGCAGACCTGTGTCGAGGGCGGGGCTGGAGTCGAGCGAGACCCCGAAGGAGGTGCTGTGGGGCGCCACGGAGGCGGCCTGGGACACGAGGTCGCCCTCGAGCCCGGCGGCCGCCTGGAAGCCCTGGGCCGCGGGAGGGAGCTGGTCGGCCTCGACCTTCTCGAAGTCGTCGAGGTTGAGCGAGTCTCGATTCGACCCGGGCGCCTCCGGCTTCTGGCTGGAGTCCACTGCACTGTTACTCGACATGCTGGAGAAGTGGTCAAAGTCAGACATGTTGCCGATTCCTTCTGACACGTTACAGGCCACGGCTCAACACAACACGAAACTAGCGGTGGTCCCGAGCGCGAGTGTGGTGTCCCTGCTCGCACTCGACGCACGCTGCCTCGCTCCACCACGCGACCGCCCCCTGCACTCGGCGCCATGACGGGCCGCACCTGCCGATCTTTGCTCGCAAATTTGACCGCCCTTTCTCTCTTTCCAGGAATGAGCAAGTCTCCCATTTAATTGGAACTTATGTCTTTAACATTACTAATAAAACTCTCATACAAACCAAATCTTAAAACGCGCATAAAAAATGAGCCCAAGTAAAACAATAACGCAAACTCACGCGGCGTGCTGATTGGCCGAGAAGAAGCGGGTCGTTCGGATGGGCCAATCTGAGGAGTTTCGGGCGCCTCATGAGCCCCTGGCCGTGGACACCCAACATGGTGGCGCACAGCGAGCTCGACCAACTCCCGCGACAAAAACTCTTAGACCAACAGGGATATTCATCATGTAGCAAGGAAAGTGCAGCGGCCGGCGACATCCAAGAGCCAGAGGAAAAGATCTGCCACCAGGTTAGCGCCGTTACCCTCGTCAGTAGCGTAGAAATGGTGTTGTCAATCCAGGTCACGGGACGGGGAGGATCCGCACCACCCAGCTCCTGCTGTGACATTCCTTCTAATTAACCCGTTCGTGCTCAAGGAAGGAGGGAAACGCGCTCTTCCCTCGCCCATTCCCCATTCCCCTCTGCAATAAATACCCCAATCGGTCCACAAACCCAAACTACCAGAGGCCACAGAGGGAAAAGCAAATCCGAGGCGCGGAATGCCAGGAGGAATGTCACGGCGGCTGCTGCTTAATCTTTAATCAAGTCACATGAACTCATGAAGAAATTGAACCTCGAAGGGGATATTTAGTTTTATCTTATTTTTTTTTTATTTGTCTTTTATTTATTGAGCTTTAGAATGGGCAAAGGAGCAGATATGGTAAGATTTCTAGTTGCTCTCTTGTGATCTTATCTTTTTTCCTTTTTTTTCCGTTTTATCATTTGAAGCGTGACACTCATTCTTTTTCAATATTTATTTCAGTAGCTTGTTATGTTAGCTCAATCAGTGTTATGTATACTTCTTAGGTTTAGTTTTTTTTCCCGAAGTTGTGTTGGGGAAAACTTCATGATGTGAAAGTTTCCTGAAAATTCTTACTGAAAGTTCTATGACATCAGTAGTTTCCAGCAATACAATTCTAAAATATATCATTAGATTTAAAGTCCCCCTTTTAATGTAAATACTTATAAGGATTGTTGAAGAGTTTGTTAGAAGAGAAATAATATTTAGGTGTGATAATGGCATGCTGTAGGTGGCATGGCATAACTCAGGCCTGGGTGTGGTTGCAGTGGTGTCAGTTCTTAGAGAAAGGGAGATTATTAAATTTTCCTAAGTCATAGGGACACATTGGGAGTATTCTTGGGCCAAATCAGCTGGATATTTTGTATTTATTGAAAGCATGTGCAAATGGGTAAGAATGAAAGTGTAGGTGTTGGTGTGGCAGCTGTTGGAAAGACAGATTCTGGTCTGCTGATTGAGCCCTAAGTGGATGCAGGCCAGGTAGAAGTGCCGTGCAACAACCCACACCAAGTTTCTGACGTTTGAAATGCTTGAAGTGAAAATATTTGTTAAGGAATTTGATTTCGATATTGTTTTTTTCTGTACTTTTTCCCCAAACATGGTCATAATTATATTTAGATAGATATTATATTTCAAGCAATGCTTTAATTACTCTCCAAGGATTGATTGTATTATGTCAGAGTTATTAGAGAAACTTTAGATATAATAATGACAATCATAACAGTATGATAAGAAGTCCATGGTTGTTGGTTGTTGATATACAGTGGAAGTAAATGAGGTAAATGTCTATAAGATACCTGCAGTACCTTACATAACAGATTTTTCTCTTAAAATCTTAAGATGAAGGCACTAAGCTATGGCAAATTGAGGATGATATTCTTATAGAGGACAAAAAGTTGCAGTTGTCAGTACAAGAAATCATCTGTAGACACAATAAAAGAAAAAGGCTGCAGAAAACAGCATTCAGAGCCTAAGTTCAGTCCGTGATCGCAAATTTCAACTATTTTGCCATGCATGCCAAGGTGAAAAGAATGTTTAGCAGGGGATACTGGGAGGCGAAGCCACAATTGACCTAACCCTCGGGCAGTCCCTGAAGTGCACGCCCAGTCACAGCAACTTAAAATCTTGAAAAAATTGTGACATGGACTTGAGGACTTAATACAAACTCTGGCCAGTACATCTATTGCAAAGAATTGCCCAGAAAACTATACTGCCAAAGTTTAAAACAAAACTACTTGAAACTGTTAAGAAGTCCCTTAATCTTAATTGCTTGGCAATTACTGCAGCCTCCATGCATTCTGGAAAAGGAAGCATACCTTGCAAATGTATATTGTAACTTTTTCTAAATTTGTGTAAGTTAGATTACAAAGCATCAGCATCTGCTAATCTATTGTCTGCTCTTCACTCCCATTACATACTGAATCCCTCATCATCATATTTGTCAGTTTTTATAATGATTATCACTACATACTAGGATTAGGAATGGAAAACAAA